ACTTAAGTCCTTTGCCCACTTTTTAATTGGGTTGTTTGTTTTTGTTGTTGAGTAAAGGAGACCTTTTATGGACAGCCTCATATGTGCTGAGTGTTGGGGGGCAAAATTTAACAGAGATGGATGGAAAGGACATTCTAGGCAGAGGGTCCAGCAAGATCAAAGGCATGGAGGTGTCAGAGTGTAGTGTACATTCAGGTTTTTTCAAGTCGCCAACCTGCGTCAGATCATAAGTTACAGGAGGGAAGCAGCCAGCACTAAGGCAGGAAAAGCAGGGCTGCCTCACCCTGTGAAAAGGGGGAGTGAGGACACTGCAGTGAAGGAAGCCACCCTATGGAGCCATCAAGAATGTGGAGATCATTCTACCAGATGCAGGGCTGCCCTCATCAATGTCCCCATTGTGCCCATGGGACACTGGATGTCGTCCAGAGGGGTCTGTTAAGAGGTTCTGGAGGCAGCTTTCCCTGAGGTTTAGTTCTCAGTGCCAACCAAAAATAATGTTCATTCAAAGTAAGTCACAGTGCCAACCAAAAGTAATGTTCGTTCAAAATGGTTTCTGAAAAGTTCCCAGAGCAGCACCACAGTGGGGCTCAACATACCATCCTTTCCTAGGCCCCATACACCAAGGCCTCCTCAGGCACAGGTGCAGTCTCTCTTCAACTGCAACCCACATGAAGTTGCTCCCTTGATGTTAGGGACCAAATTATGCAGAAGATACTTATCTTTGCACACTAGGATCACATTTGGCCCATGAAAGTGTACACACCATTAGAGAAAGGCAAGATCCGAGGCCTCTTGAGGTGTATCTCTTTGGATGCTTTGGGCCACACATCACCGAACACCTGACCAGCAGGAGCTTTACCAATAAAGGTATTTTAGCGGTTTATGTAATAATAAGTCTGGAGAAAGGTAATACTGTACAAGGTTAATATAGTTCTCTAGGCCTTCCCTTTGTGGTCATAGGAGGGCTGTAGCAGCCCCAAGCATCATATCTCTATGCCACAGTGTCCAGGGGAGGCAGGTAAAAGAAGAGAGAGAAAGGGGGATTTCTCATCAGTGCTCTTTATCATCTAGGAGAATATTTCCTGGTTTCCAGGTACTTTCTTTTGCATCTCATTGGCCAGAACTAGGTCACATGCCCATGCCTAACCAATCACTAACAAAGAGCATGAGACTTCCATGGTAGGTGTGGTGCTGTGGTTCTTATGCCCCTTATCCCTGAAGCAAAACAAAATTGGTGTTTGTCAGCCAGAAGAAAAGGGAATTGTGCTGCAAGAAGGACCAGCAGATTCTCCTGGGCTGTATCACACTTACTCTGGAACATCTGCTCGTGGAAGACAGTGTAAATCATTTCATGTCAGCCTACATTTTATTTTATATGTAAATTATTATTTTATTGAGTCCAGCACATACAGGTGAATTCTCATGAGTTGGATGTCTGTGGGCTGAAGCTTCACTGTCTTAATTTTGGTGCTGATACCTTCATATGTCTTCCCTGGGCTTTATCCCAGCCTCCAAGAGTGGAGTGTTCTTTAGTTCCTCTGGCCTAACTATAACCTAGCTCTGCCTGTTGACCTTGAGGCCCAGGGATATGACTGGTCCCCTGGGGCCAGGCCCTTTCTTTCCTATCCTCTGGACAGCCTCTCTGTTCCAACTATAGAAAATGCTGTGCTTGTGGCATGCACACTCATAGGTCAACATGTATCACAATGGCCTAGAAAAAGAGCCATCAGCTAAGATGTAGCATAGCAGTTCAATACATTAGTTCTTTGGAAATCACAGAAGCAAATTAAGCTTTTGCTGATTTTTAAATTCATACACAGTAAGGGAAGTCAACAAGTCCTCATCTCGTGGGAGGGAGCCTGGTATGGGGTTAGCTGGAGGGTTGTGTATAACTTACTGGCAAATGTGTCAAGCTTCTTGACACTTGTTAACCTATGCATAGGATTTGGTGGGAACATGGACAGGACATGTTCTGCCAGTTGCAGTTGTGGATTCTGAAGCAATAACTGCAGGAAGAAACAAAATTAAGTTTGTCTGCTTAAGAATCATAGAGACTACAGTTGTTACTTATGCACTGCCCACCATTCTGGCCTAATTTCTAGCCAACACAATAGTGATTATGCATACCATTAAATATATGTTGGATGAACTCAGTTAAAATTTTTAATTAATCACAGCCTCAAATCTGACTCAGGCCTGCTCTGACTTCACAGATCACTGCCTAGATTTGCAGTTACCTGCTTATCACCATGGCAGTCTACTCATAGCTCAGTGAAGAAGAGAAGCTGGGCTGCTTGGCATATAATTTCTAGGAGGAAATTATGTTACATGAGATTGGAGAGAATGGCTCTGGACTTGGTTATGTTGTACCCAGTGAACGTATCAGGTGAACAGCTCTCCTTGGTCACCATGTCTCTTGCCTGCACCTCCCCACTGTGATTCATGGAGCCTCCACTGGCCTGTTCAACCTTCATGGAGAGCCTGGCCGAGTTTCCACCCTTCCCAGATATTTCAGGATCCTGTTGTTATCCTGTTAGCTTAAGGAACTCAGTAGTAGTGGCAGCTTGATTTCTCTTTGAGTAAATGAATGAACAAACAAGCTAAAACAAAGTGACCTTTTTTGTTAGGATTTTTAGATTACATTTTAGGGCTGGTCCTAAGAGGATGTGAGAACTTAGGGACAAGGCTGATAGTAGCATAAGGGAGACAGCTGTCACCCTATATTCCTCAGCAATTTTTCTTTCTCCTTTATCAGAATCTTCATTTCTTAAAACCAGAAAGCAACCTGGATGATCTGAGTTTTCCCCTGATCAGGCTGCTTTTTGCCCACTCAGAAGGGACACTAGCCCCTTCTGTCTGACCTCCTTCTGTTGACTGGAATCCACCACGCATACTGATGGTCATGGTACGATTTCTACTAGCATGTTCCTAGGACCCTTATGCATGCATAGTTTGAGAAAACCTGTCCTGCTGGTGCATGGGACTACAGAGTCCCATCGTGCACTGTCCTCACTGGGAAAGGAGTTCTCCTGATTCTGTTTCCATGTGAAGACAGCTGGACTGTGGCTGTGTAGACAGTCACTTTTATCTGAGTTTCTTTCTGATGGAAATAAATTGTATTATGTATGGAAGGAGTGTAGTCAGGGCCTCATGAACTCTAGTATCTCCTCAACATCTTTCTCTTCTCAATTGTCCATCCATCTGTGGATTTCCTGGTTCACTAGAGGAAGTCCAGAATTGACTGCTGTCTGTAAAGAACCATAAAAGGTCTGAAATTTTACCCTACTTGCAAGCTAACAAGTTAACCTGCCACTGTTTCATGGATGCTGGCAGAAGACATGAGACTCCTCCCACAGAGACAAAATACTTTATTATTCACGGCGACAGCAGTAGCCAAATGTCAGCATTTTCTTGTGCCATTTTCTGAGCTACAGTTCCCACAGGAGGACATGACAATGGCCACACAATACCCATACTTGCAGTGGATTATGTAATGGGAGAAGATCCCTGGGCTTCGGAAACCCGGTTATTTTATCAGGGACAATAAACATGTCTGTCTTTTGCTCCAAAGAGGGACATCATCTCATCATACTAGACAGTAACTCTGCCTGCCTTTGCCCCAGCAGGAGACAATATCGGTCTTCCAAGGCTGCTGTTGGCTATTCAAATATCCATGAAAGAAAGTCCAGAACAATCAGCAGCCAATGCCTTACTTGAAAGACATGCAGAAACATGAGCAACCCATGGAGAATTGCCTCCCAACATTGTTTTTGTCTTGACCTCATCTATACATTCAATTTGATTATTCCACACACATTTTACACCTACTCTGAGCAAGACCCTATGCTTGGAGCTTGGGATACAAAAATAAAACACATTCTTTGCCCTCAAGAAGCTCACTCTCCAGTAAGATAGATAGGCAATGAATAGAGGGTAAGGTAGGATGGGATGAGGTGTAAGAGAGAAAGGTCTAAGGGGATGTGGAAGGCGCAGGAGAAGACCCAACTTAGCTTAGAAGGAATAGGCATTCAGAGCTTTGTAGAAGAGGTAAAGTCTAAGTGATGTAGCCATTAGCCTGGCACAGATGGGTGAGAAAGAGTGAGCACTCAGGACAGGATGAAAGGCAGTTTGACAGAGCAGCCATAAGGAGGGGTTTGGAGGGTAAGTAGCAAGCCTTGGGGGAAAAGGTCATGACCAGGTAAGGGGCTCTGGATGACACCCTAAAGAATTTCAACATTATCCAGAGTGGAACTGATGGGGAAGGGATTAAGCAGGGAATCAGCATGTTAATGTTTGTGTTGAAAGATCCCTTGGGCAGCTACGCAGAGGATGGATCAGAGGTGAGACTGGAAAAAAGAGACGAGCTAGGAGTACATTCAGATCCAATTGAGAAATAATGAGTCCCAATCTAAGGCAGGGACTGTGCAGTTTGAGAGAGGGATGAGCAATAAAGATATTACAGAGGTGGAACTATCAAGGCAGGGGAGGGAGAAGAGCCACATGGCTGCCAGTTTTGTGATTTGAGCACTAGAAGGGCCATGGTGCCGTCCCCTGATGTCATTATGAACAATTGCTTCTGCATTTTGCTGCTACACAGGGAAGCCCTCAGGGCTGTAGATGGCACAAGATGCTTTCCCAACACTAAATGTGGCATATTGCCCACTGTTAGACTGGAGTGGGGGCCTTGGGATGGACCCCAGGTTGGGTATGGGCAGAGGCAGGGAGAGGATAGAGGAATCAAATATTACCTCTAAGGTGGGAATCAGGAATCAGAGTCCTTGGATGGGACTCAGCCAAGGCAGCAGATAGAGTTTATGGGGTTAAAACAAAATTTAAGTTTGGAAGGGAACTGACACCCCAGATTAGGAGGCAGAAATTCTCAAAAGGGAAAGCAAACCGGGTAAAGAAGAAGTGCCAGATGCTGAAGGCAGTAATGGGGATGGGAGGGTGGACAAACCTGGGGCTCTGCTGTTTTGACTTGGGGAATATTTCTTCCACAGCTACCTGCTTCAGCCTAGATCCTGCCGTGAAGTGGGCTGCTGCTCCCTGGCTCCCACTCTGTTCTACTTTTCACTCTTACCTTGTCTCCCAATGAATAAGGTAAATATCTCTTAAAGTCATCTTCCACTCTGCATTAGACCCAGTGGGATCCCTGCCCTCAGGGGTTTACAGTGTGCTAGGCAAGGAAAGAGTGGGGGCTCAAATATATAGACTAAAAATATTTGTCTGTATCTAGACATACAGTATATCACCTTTACAAGGTTAGAGGAGGGAGCTCTGACTTCCAGGTGGGCCTTGCAGGAAGCTCCACAGGAGAGTTAGCATGGAAGAGAACATTCTAACACTAAGAAATGGCATAAACAGAGGCCCAAGAAGCAGGAACATGCAGAAGACACATTAGAGAATGGTAGGTGATCCCAGCTTGACGATGATACGGAGTACTTGTAAGGAATAGAGAAGGTGGGTGAGAGACAAGTAGGAGAGGTAGAGTGAGGCCAAAATCTCCATTTTCCGTATGGGTCACTAAGGCTGAGACTGACCGATTAAGTCATATAGTAAGCACAAGGCTATTTGCCAGATATTTCTGGCTTTCTACCTTCAGCACATGGAGACGAATTGTACTTTCTAGCTCACTGTAGTTGCGCGGGATCTATAGAGGTGACATGTGGCAATTTGGGGCCAAGCGTAAAGTTGCTGGTGAGGGACTTTCCAGAGCCTTCTTTCTCTCTACTATTGTGACTAACTGCATTCCATGTAGTGGCTGGTCTATCATCCTGAGTCATGGATTGAGGGACAATTTTGTCGATGACACAGAGCAGAGCCTTCAACCCGTGTGGAATGGGTATATATTATGAACATGAAATAAACCTTTATTGTTTTAAGCCACTAAGATTAAGGGTTGTTCGTTAGTGCAGCTTACCTGGCCTCTCCTGATTGATACACTTAGTCAAGGTAACTCGGTTAGGAAGTACTTGTTGGCTTTGATTCCATGTCTGTCTTGTCATCAAGCCAGTGTCAGGCAGATGCCCATGGACCTTTAGGGGCCCATAAACAGGGTCAAGTCTGGAGCTGTAGATTTGGACATCACTTACACAAATGTGGAAGGAAATGGAAAGAAAGTAATAGAGATTTAGTCTGTGGGCTTTAGGGGTGAGGCTTCTTGCCCTCATGTTCTTTCTGTCCCACAGGTTTGTAGTCAATTCCACGTGGTCTGTTGATAAGTAGGACATCACTGCTGCCTGCAGGGTCTGGTGGTTCAGAGATGCTGGCTTGAGTTTGTTGACAGCTGCACACTCATAACATTGCTAAAAACTTCATAAACTCTGATGTCTGGAAATAGCCCAAGTGATTTGAGGTTTTGCTCACTTGTAAATGTTTGAGTATTGTGTCCACAAATTGCAAATTGAGTAACTCAATTTTGAGGCACAGCTGTTATTTGGAAAAGACCCATCTAGGAACGCAAGCTCCTTGCAAAATAATTGTGCTTCATTTTTGTCAAGTATCAGAAAACCATTAAACTGCCAAGCCATATGGCAAATGCCCACTAGAAGCAGAGTGCGACAACGAGCCATAATGAATCTGTTTTGGGGGAGAAGTAGATGGGACAGCGTCTGGTTTTTGTGATCTACAGAAAAGATTCACTGCTGTACATTTCAGCCATCCAGAGTCCTGAGTAAGGATTTTTCCTCCCATGAAAAATTCATGTAGCAAATTAAGTTATGGTGGTGTTTGTTTTTTCCTTAGGTGAATTTTTTCCCTTTCAAACAATGTCCATTTGAGCTTCTGCGTATAAAATAGACTTAACTGGGGCAATAGAAAGTTCTAAAAGTTTACATACTTTTCCATTTTTATATACTAACCCAAGAAACATTCATTAAATATTGGCATAGCAGTTAGAATTAGGTTTAGCTGTGTATAATAGAAAAATGGAAAATAATGGTGGCTTTGAAGGTCGTTTCTACCCCAGGTAAAAGAAACCTGGAGGTAGGCAGCCTGGGGCTGGTATGACAGCTTCAGGGTCATCGAGTCCTGGTTTTCTCTTGACCTATTCTTTGTCAAACCTGGAGTTGGTTCTTGTCCTCAGGGTCTAAGATAGCTGCCATACTCCAGCTATCACATTCCTGGTAGCAAGAGTAGAGAAGAGGAGAAAGGCATGCCTTTACCTTTTAAGGACAGTGCCTGACCTAAGATCACTGGCCAGACCTTAGGCATGTGGCCTCAGCCTACTGCCAAAGACATTGGGAAAGGTAGCAATATGCCCAGCTGAAGGCAGGCATTCTGTGACTAAAGAGAATGGGAGAATGGATATTAAGGAGTCACCAGCAAACTCTATCCTACCAGAGGTCCTTGATGCTTGTTCTTCCTGCTAGATTATAACCTTCTTGAGGACAGGAACAGATTTTATTTACTCCTCTATCTCCAAGGCACTAGCACAGTAGCTAGTAGGTTGTGTTTTTAATTTTCTGCTATTTGCATTCCTAACAGCAGACCCAAAACACTCCTCACCTTCTAACCCCCTTTTCTGCCTTCTTTGTCCAAGTTGACAGGTCAGCTGTGATTTGAGGCATATTTATTTTTCATCATTAGAAAATGTTACTTCTACCAGAATGATATTAGACTGTCTGTTCCTGTGTTTTTCAATATTGACTCTAAATTCCAGAGACAAGAGATGCTTAGAGGAGGATTGTTTTATTGGAGCTAGACAAACGACTGCAGCATTGGTACTTGGGCTTGACCTTTCCTCATCAGCACCCTTCAGTGGTGACATCTCCCAGGCCGAGCTGGTGTGAGTGAGCTGACTAATGGGTAGAAGGATGCCGAATGTGTGTCCAAGGGCTGGCAGGTCTTGATCATGGGTAACTAGAAAAATGGGAGGTCTTTTTCAAACAAGGTAAAGAACCCCCTGGAAGCTGGTATACGGAGTGGCAAATTATGTTTTAAAGACAATGAAAGACAAAGGAGCTAATATTTCTGGAGAACCCTCTGTGGGCCAGGCACTGTGCTAGTTGGGTCACCTCCAGTAACCCTCATGAGAGTTCTAAGAGGTAGATATAATTATCTCCATTTTCTATGTGGCTCACTGAGCCTTGAGAGGTTGATTGGACTCTTTACCAGAAAGCAAGCACAAACCCTTCCCTTCCAGGCATGTTGAAAGAATTAGCATTGATGTGTGTGAAGTTTTTAGCACAGTGCCTAGCCTATTACTCAATAAACCCAGTAGCAGTTACTCAGATGTACTTTATTGCAGCAATTGAAACTAGTCCCAAACTCATGAGTATGGCATTGCAAGAGATCTCATTCCACTCCTTGTGCTCCTTCAAATCTTTTGAAATTTCTCGAAACTGAAGAGTGGGCTGCCTGCTTTCCTGGGAGTCTCATAATGAGGATGAAATGCTTAATTGACATGTTTGTGTCCTCCAAGGGGTGGCTGGCAGAGGATCCTCACACTGACAAGGAAGGCATGCTTTGCTTTTGTTTTTTGCAGCATTGTGTGCCCGTAGCGACAGCAGGTGAATCCAACAAAGTTAAAAGGGAAAACTACTGGAGTTCTCATGAAGGTTGATTGCCCTGGAGAAGTCGACACACGCACACAGATGGAAATGGTTTCACCAAGTCCTGAAAAATGTGGTCGTCAGCCCCACATACAAACCATGACTTGTGTTTTCTTTAAGATGAGGAGGCTGGTCAAGAGGTCTGTGTAATGAAAGATGTTTGTAGAATCCATTTCCATTCTGCCTGAAGCCATCTGCTTTATGTCTATAATAAACAGGGATGTTTTCAGCCACTTTCCCAGGCCTGGCCCGTTAGAAATGCTCACCGCAGGGAAAGGTAAATTAACTGCCTCCCAAGCCATGAGCATTAGCACATTACATCTGCAGTGATGGCACTTAACCTTCCTGGGTCGCCTTCCTTACTGTGCCTCTGTGACGGCCTGTGACAAATGGGCTAAGGGGTGCACACTAGGTTAGAACTTAGTACGCATGGAGTATTGGCCAGCATCACATTACGTGGTGAGCCAGGTGAGATGTGAGCAGTGGAAGAGACCATATTCCAGGAAGATGGAGGCTGCCTGGCCTTCTCCAGCCAGAAAGACCTGAGGGCAACTGGGGCCGTTCTGAGACTTTCTGATGTACCCACTGTCCCTGAAACTTCCTGATGCACTTGAGTACTCTTTCTGAAACACAGACTGAGCAAGTCACATCCCTGTTTAAAATCCTTCAGAGGCTTCCTGCTTGCCCATAGGATAAAATCTAAACTTCATAGGCACCCAGGGTCCCTCGTGATCCTTCTGCACTCTGCAGCTTCATCTTGAGCCACTCACACATCAGCTCCTGCCCACACGTGAGCCATACTGACATCTTTCAGCTCACCCCCCACCTTCAGCTGCTGTGTCTAGGCCTTTGCAGCACTATGCCTTGTGCCTGACACAGTGTTCGCTATCTTCCCCAGCATCTCAATTCTCTCTCCATTCCTGCTGTAGCTGGAAAGTCCTTTCTGACAGCCTGCCACTAAAAAGTGTGTTAACTTCCTATGGCTGCTGTAACAAATCACTGCAGCCATAGGAAACTAATGTGTGGCTTAAAACAACACCAATTTGGCCAGGCGCGGTGTCTCATGCCTGTAATCCCAGCACTTTGGGAGGCCAAGGCAGGCAGATCAGCTGAGGTTGGGAGTTCGAGACCAGCCTGACCAACATGGAGAAACCCTGTCTCTACTAAAAACACAAAATTAGCTAGGCATGGTGGGACACATCTGTAATTCCAGCTACTCAGGAGACAGAGGCAGGAGAATCACTTGAGCCTGGGAGGCGGAGGCTGCGGTGAGCCGAGATCACGCCATTGCACTCCAGCCTAGGCAACAAGAGCAAAATACTGTCAAAAAAAAAAAAAAAAAACCACAAATGTATTGCCTTCAAGATTTGTAGGTCAGAAGTTTAAAATGAAGGGGTCTGCATTCCTTCTAGAGACCCTGGGGACAGTCATTTCCTTGCCTTCTCCAGCAGCTAGGGGTCGCTTGCATTGCTTGGTTCATGGCCCCTTCCTAGCACCTCTCTCTTCTCTGACAATTGCTTCTTTCATACATCTCTTTCTCTGTTTATGTAGCCCCGTTGCTGCCCTCTTTATGGGGGCCTTCAAGATAAAACTGAGTAATCCAGACTACCCTCCTCATTTCAAAAATCTTTATGTAATCATGTCTGTAAAATCCCTTTTACCATGTAACATAACATATTCACAGGTTCCAAGGATTAGGACACGGTCATTTTCAGGGGCCAATTATTCACCCTCTCACAGTGAGGTGTTAAGCCCTGAGCCCTTTCCCTGGGGTTATTGTCTGTTGAATTGTCCTTCCCATAGATGACTGGAAGCTCTTTGAGGGTGAGGGCTACATCTGCATTTCCTCCTATTGCATCCTACTGTCCAGTCGAGGGCCTGGCCACTAATAGATGCTTAATAAACAGTTGTTCACTGAGTAGTTGGCAGGCAGGGCAGTGCCAGAGACCTGGCTGTTGTGGAGAAACTGGATGGACTCTGAAAAACAGTGCAATGAGCAATGTCTAGGCAGTAAAATCTGGAAGGAATTGTCTGGACCGTCTTGGCAAATGGACAGCCATCAACCTCCAGTTCTCTAGGGCAGAGGGATGACCTCGGTGTCAGTTTGCAGGAGGCCAGCATATCCCTGTTGACAGGATCATGGTGTTAAAGAGGGCCCAACAGGCAAGGATGTCTTTTTTAAATTTCAGATTGAGTGAAATTTAAAAAAGTGAAGTGGGGCTTTGGGGAGAGATCTTGTGTACCTTCAGGGAGCCAGAAAGTTCACTTTATATCTCTGGAAGACTCATTCCATTGACTGGGACAGAACCAAAGAGAAGAGGTAGCCATCTGACAAAAATACTTGGTTAGGGATAGACATTGACTCTCTAGTTCGTTCCACACACATTTCCTGAGTACTTATTGGTGCCAGGCACAGTGCTAGGAGTTGAAAGGACCAAGATGAATTTAAAAACCACTCTCTAATCACTTGAGCTCAGGAGTTTGAGGCTGCAGTGAGCTGTGATTATGCCACTACACTCCAAACTGGAAAAAAAAAAGTGAGACTCTGTCTCTTAAAAAAAAAAATTAAAAAATAAACACGTCTAAGAGATTATCTTCCACTTGGAGAAGAGCAACATGCATAAAAAGCAATGACAATTCTCTGGTGAAGAAAGAAAAAGGTGATAAAATGTGAAAAACAAGTACAGAGTTAGCATGATAGTGGGGGGCTATTGGGGGAGATACAAGGTAAATATTCCAGGGAGAAAACCTTGAAGGCAGATCACCAGGGTGGCAAGGATGAGGATGGCATTTCAGGTGGTCATGACTGCATTTGCAGAAGCAGCATGTTATGCTTGAGAAGTGGGACGAGATGCTGTCTGATGACTATGGAGTGGGAGGCAGTAAGCTGGAGAGGGGGCGGGAGCCAAAGGTAGAACCTGTTTGCCTTGTCTCCAGTTTAATGATAAATTCCAACAAGCCTGTACACCACATTCTCAACTTGTTAAATCCTTTAGCAGCAATTATTACTCTGTGGCCTCCATTGAATGCTTATTGATGAGAAGCCTTTCCCAATAGCAAAAGTCTCCTTCACTTGCTCCGTCTCACTAGATATTATTAGATGATAAGGGCAGATGGGACACTTTTATGGCATGCATCTTGCCTTGTGTCTGATGAGACTGGCACTCAAATCAGAGCCAGTTTATTGTCCTGGTGGGTCCCTGGAGTGAGTCCATTTTAGCCCTATCACTGTATTTCTCTGGGTTTGGCTTGGGAGGGTACTTAGTTGAAGCAAATTGGAGTGTACAAATGGTACAGGTGCACTGACCTTGTTACTGATCCTGGGAATGAATGTACACTCACTGTGTCCTTCAGCCTGCGACGTGGCCCAGACAGAGCACAGTCTCCATTAGAACAGTGTGGCTCAGTATGCCCACAGCAAATAAAGAAAAAGCAAGAGGCACTTAATAAAGGTCATTTATTCTCCTTCTCAGCATCACATTTCATTGCTGTTGATGCCACCATTCAAACAAATGTTCTAATTTACAGTTTCTGGGAACTTTTGGAAAAATGGATGAGAGCCCCCAGGTTACTTGAGATGCTACAGTTACATGTTTTAATGGTTCTAACAATGTATATTTTGTCAAAATGAAATAGAATTTTGAAAGACTTCATAATAGTTGTAAAAAAACAGCCACCTTTTCAGTTACAGTCATCATGAGGCTGCTCTTGTGAATAGCTTGGCACACCTTGCAAATATCTCATTAAACCATCCAATCTCCCTGGGAAAAAGCTAGCAGCAGCTTGTTGACTGCTTTCTTCCCACACAGTAGGGGGGATTCCTGCTGCCTCAAAGGAAGTATGAAGACACCACGGCCCACCTAGGCTGAGAGTTTTTCATCTTCACACTGTAGCTCAGAGTACACACCCTCCAGCCAGCCAGTGCCCTGTTTCAGTCTTCACTGATCCCTACTCTGGGCCAGGCTCTGTGCTTCGAGCTGAAATCCCAGGATGGAGAAAACACCACTTCCTTTCCTAAAGGGTTTACTGTCCAGTGGATAGGAAAGACATATAAGCAGGCTTTTTCAATAAAATGCGGCATGTGATTTATTAAAGGTAAGTCAGAGATGAGTTAACCTAAGCTAGATGTCAAAGAAGCCGTCTCAGCAGCCTTCCACCCTCCCAGCACCCAGACACTTGTATCCCCAACTCTGTGGCAGCCACGGTGGATTAGTTAATCCAGTTTCCAATACCCTTTCCCTTACTGTTCTCACTAGAGAGGCTGTCAAGCTAAATAGATGCCTTTCTAGCCTTTGTTGTAGCTACAGTGGCCATGTAACCTAGTTCTGGCCAATGAGACAGAAGCAAAATCTACAGGAGGTTCTAAAAAAGCTCTTGTGTTCTTGATTAAGAGGAATAGCTAATCTGGTACAGCTTCTTGCTCCTCCTTCTTGCCTTTATTGAGGTTATGATGGCTGTAGCTGCAACAGCAATCTTGTGACCATGAGAGAGAAACTGAAAGAATTGCAAGTCATTGTTGAACCCATGATCTAATGTCATTAGGTGCCTACTTCCAGACTTTTTGTCATGTTAGAAACAAATGAACCTCTCTTTGTTTAGACCACTGAGGTTAGGCTTCTGGTATTTGCAGCTAATATATCCCTAACTGATATAGGTACCTAGCAAGTAATTGATAAATAGTGATTGAAGTAATAAATAGTGTAATCATATGAATTGGGTCTTAACATATTGGGATGTGCTGGGGGGTTTTCTGGTTGGAGAAAACCAAAATAGCCTGTACAGAAGGTTGAAGCAGGAAGCCATGAAGATGTCACAAAGAAGTCCTAACAGGTAGTTCATTGTTGCTAGAATATAAAGTAGGAAGCTGGATGAAAGCCTGGAGAAGGAGATAACATGGGCCAAATTGAAACAGTTTCCTTTGATACAAGCAGGGTCCCAGGTTCCTGTGACTGAGCACTCTACATGTTGCCCCCAGAACTACAGGATTACAGCTAAGACTATCATAGCAAGATGAACAATAAAGGCAGTAAATGCATTCCTCCTGTTGGTTGCTGTATTATCTATTACTGCATAACCAATTACACCAAAATGTAGCAGCTTAAGACAACACATTTATTTATTGTTTTTATTTATTATCTCACAGTTTCTGTGGGTCTTGAATCCAGACATAATTTAACTTATAAAACCTGTCTTATAAAGCTTCCGTCAGTGTTCACAGGGTTGCAGTCACATCTGAAAACTTGACTGGGGGAAGATCATGCCCACACTCATGCACATAGTTGTTGGAGATCCAGTTCCTCACTGGATGTTGGCCACCAGAGGTCTCTCTCACTCCCTGGGCCCATGGGCATCTCCATGGGGCAGCTCACAACCTGCCTCCTGGCTGCATCAGGGTGAGCAAGTGAGAAAGCAAAAGAGGTGAGCAAGAGGGAAGCCAGAGGCCTTTGGTAACCTTAGCTCAGAAGTGGTAACCACTACTGCTGTATTCTGTTTGTTGTAAGCAAGTTTCAGCCTATACTTAAGGGATGAGATTACCAGTGAATTCTAGAAGGATCACTGGGAGCCATCTTAAACACTGCCTACCACAGAAACACCGCCATCTCCTTTCTCCTCCTGCTCCATCAGGGTCAGCAGTAGCAGCACCTTTCTCACCATTGTTGTCATCATCACAACCACAGTGATTGTTTATTAAATGCTTCTTCTGTATCAGGCTTTCCTTACATATGTATCATACTTTCCATATGTAACTATCTTTACTATAACCTTGTAAGAGTAAGTAACTTATCCCCATCTTGCAGGTTAGAAAACTGAGGCTCAGAGAGGGTCTGTGGTTTGCCCTAGGCCTCACAGCCAGTGAGAGGCAGAACTAGGGGTCACCCAAGGCCCACCTCGAGGACGCAGCATCTCAGAGGCAAGAGAACCGTGTCTGCCAGCCAGTCCTGGAGCCTGGGCTGTTTCCTTCTCACCTTTAACCTCAACAGAGTGAGGTCAGAGGGTGGACTGCACCCTCTCAAAATGGTTGGGCCCCAGATAAAGGACAATATGTGAGATCAGAATTCAGTCTGCATATTAGATAATAGTCCAGTAACAATGTTGGTTTCCTGATTTTAATCATTGTTCTGCAGTTATGTAACAAAGTGTCTTCATTCTGAGAAAACACATACTGAAGTATTTAGAGGTAAAGAGATTTTATGTCTATGACTTACTCTCAAACATTTCAGAAAAAATATTTATAAACAGGTATGTATGTGTGTGGAAAGAGAGTGAATGATAAAGCAAGTGTGGTAAAATGTTAACATTGGGGAATCTGGATAAAGAGTATAAAAAATTTTGTATAAATTTTGTAACATTTTTTCAATAAGTCTAAAATTGTTTCAAAGTAAAAAGTATTTTAAAAGTGCTAATCTACTCTAGGACCTTGTGAGATCTATTAGGATTACCAGAAATGACACTGTGGGGGTCTTCTAGCCCTCCTTCTGACCCCAGGGTGATCTGTCGGAGCCCAAGGAGGATATAGAAGTTCAGAACAGAACATGGGTTCTGGGATCAGGCTGCCTGGGTTCCAGTCCTGGCCCAGTAGCTTCTAAGGTCCCTGAGCTGTATGAGTAACCACTCAGGGTTGTTAAAAAGGACTTGGCAAGAGAAGGATATACTTTGGCATAGCACTTGGCGTACTTCATGGCCCATGGCAAACCCTCCTTAAATGTTGTTTTAATGGCCTCCTCAGTCATCTTACAAGTTGAGAAGTAATGGTCTGTGTATGGTTTAGAGAGACTGATCTGGATAATTGTCTCAGTGCTAACTCCCTGACATGAGCTTTTGTCCCCATAAAAGCAGGGTGGCCACTGCAACGGGTGTGGATGTGCCGGACAAGATGAAGAGCCGAATCCCTGTGGTTCTCCTGGCCTGTGGCTCCTTTAACCCCATCACCAACATGCACCTGCGCTTGTTTGAGGTGGCCAGAGATCACCTACACCAAACAGGTCAGTCAGGGGGCCCTGAGTCCAACAGAAGAACTGATGGGTTAGGCTTCATGGGGCTTTTCTGGCTGCTGGCATCACTATTATTAAAACAGCTCAGTTTATTTATTCACAGCATAACTAGAGGCATTTTTTTTTCATCATATTCAAAGGGTTGATGCTTATAGTCTTGTGACATGTATACAAGTCATACACCTTGCATAGACCTGAACACATCTCAAGGTCTGCCCTCCCTGCCCACCTCACATTGGCAATGAATGACAACAGGCCCTCTATAGAACCTGTGCCACAATCAGGGCATCCTTTCTGGTACTCCCAACATCTACCTACACAGCCAGATGAATAGGTTGCATGTGCCTTAGAAAGCTCCTGATACTCTTCAGAGAGTAAGCAAATGCTTGACAACGGGCATTTTGACATTTTCTCATTTTAAAGAATGTATCTTAGATTATTACAAATTAATAATCTTGTACATAGGGCATTTCCAATACAGATGGCATGACTTTGACAGAAATATTTAATCAGCTGAAAATATATAATCTGAGGATATTTCATCTCCTTGACTTTCTATTTCATTATTAAAGGAGTAAAGTGACATTTATAATCTGCATGATTGTTTCTGAAGAATGTAAGTAATGTATCTGTTGGCTATCAAGTATATATGAAATTATTTACTTGTATATTTATGAATGTATTATGCATTCATATATGTATTTTGTGTTTCTATATTGTTTGTAAAAGTTTGCCTTTAAGGACATTGTTTTTATACCAGAATCGATTCCTATTTACTTTTAATATAGCAAAAAGTATTTGAGTAACGTGGAAATCATTTCTTCAAAGAAATAATGCATAAGTATTAGTTTATTTTAAAGGAAATATCTTTATTTTAAAAACATATTTTTATTTAAAAAGTGAAAGTGAGTGTCTATCCTTGATAAATAAATAGCTTAGTAAATAATAGGAATAAAAAATATTCAAACAATTCATTAAAACTAGTTGGTGGGCATTTTTAGACAGTATACCAAAAAGGAAGTATAAATGGCCAACAAATTTAGGGAAAGATGCTTAAAATCACTAATAATCAAAGAAAGTGCAAATAAAAATGTGATAAACTATACAAAGTGATAAGCACCACCATGAGGGCATCTCCTGTGGCTGCTGGAACACCACAGAATTGCCACCATCTGCCACTGGGCTTATAGTTAGTGCTCAAAAAATATCTGTTGCAGGATTAAATAGTTTTAGCCTATGAGACTGGCAAAGATTAAAGATGGACCAAATTCAGTGCTGGCAGAATAAAGAAGCACTGGCAGTAGTAGGACTGTACTGGTAGTAATAGGATAAATTTTGAGGACAATTTGGTGTTCTGTGACAAAAGATTTAAAGTCTCTACCCATACTCATAATGAAGAGAAAAATGAACCGATGGAAACCAAACCAGATTTGATGCAGATGTTATAATTAGCAGACAAAGACTTGAAAATAGTTATTATAATTACGTGCTATATGTTCAAGTTAAGCAGAGATATGGAAAATATAAAAGGACCCAAATCAAACATCTAGAATTAAATACTACAACCTATGAGATGAAAAATACACTGTAAACAATAAAAAACAGATTAGACATTACAGAAGAAAAGGTTAGTGAACTTGAAGATATAATAATAGGAACTATCTAAAAATACAGGAAGAAAAAATTTTAAAAAAGAAAGAATAACAATGAGATATGGGAGAACTTGAAGCAGCTTAATATACTTGGAATTGGAATCCCAGAAGGAGAAAACAAAGAAAGAACTAGAAAAAATATTTGAAGAAATAATGACTGAAATTTCTCCAAATTTTATGAAAACCCACAGATCCAACTATCTGAACAAACACAAGAAACATTAAGAAAACAACACTGAAATATATAATAATCAAATTTCTCAAAACTGGTAATAGTCAAAAGCAACCACAGAACAAAAATAAAGATGACAGCAGATATCTTGTTACTGAATTTACCAAAAAAGAATTTAGTGTAATAACATTGTTAAAGAACTGAAAGAAAATACTGTCGACCTAGAATTCTATATCCATTCCATATCCGGCAAAAATATCTTTCAAAAATGAAAGCAAAGTAAAGGCATTTTCAGATACTCAAAAGCTGAAAGAACTCACCACCAGCAAACTTGCATTACAAGAAATGCTAAATTCTTCAGGCAGAAGGAAAACAATACCAAACAGAAACATGGACCAACACAGAGGAATACAGAGCATTGGAAATGGTAACCACATGGGGCAATTATGTAATATTTCTTATTGATTAATTTTCTTTAAAAGGTAATTAACAGTTTAAACAAAAGTAACAATACACTGTGGGATCTATAACCTATAAAGGCTGAGGGGGTAAAAGGGAATATACATAAAGTGGTATAACATCACTTAAAGATAGACCGTAAGAAGTTAAAGATATGTTTTAAACTCTAATGCAACTGTTAAAATGAAGCAGTTAGTGTTAATAAGCATACAGAGGAAGTAAAATAGAATTGGAATATACTCAGTTAATTCAAAAGAAGAAAAAGAAGAAACAGGGAACAAAAAAGATGAGACAAACAGAAAACAACATAAGAGATTTAAACCTAACTATATCAATAATCACATTAAATATAAGTAGCCTAACAACTTCTGCAAAGAGGCAGACTGCCAGATTCAATAAAATAAGCAAGACCCAACTATAAACAAGAAGCATACTTTAAACATAGAAACCCAAATAGGTTAAAAGTAAGAGAACAGAAAACTGTCCTATGCTAACACTAATTAAAAGAAAGCTGGAGTGGCTATAGTAGTATCAGAGAAAGTAGATTTCAGAGGAGTGAATATTACGAGGGATAAATAAGGTCATTTCATAATCATAAAGGGGTTAATGCTTTAAGCAGAAGTAATACGCTTTTTGCACTTAGTAATATAACTTCTAAATATATAAGAAGCAAAAACTTACAGAATTGCAAGGAGAAATAGACAAACCCACATTTAGAGTCAGCTATTTTAATGCTCTTCTCAGTAATTAATAGAATAAGCACACAGAAAATTAATAGAAGACTTGAACAACACTATTAAACAATTTGACCTAATTGACATTTATAGACCACTGCATCGTACATCACAGAATACACATCCTTCCCAAGGGCACACAGAACATTTACCAAAATAAGCCATATTCTGAACCATAAAACAAGTCTTGGCCTGGTGTGGTGGCTCACGCCTGTAATCCCAACACTTTGGGAGGCCAATGCGGGTGGATCACCTGAGGTCAGGAGTTCGAGACTAGCCTAGCCAATATGGTGAAACCCCATCTCTACTAAGAATACAAAAATCAGCCAGGTATGGTGGCACGCACCTATAATCCCAGCTACTCAGGAGGCTGAGGCAGGAGAATCGGCTTGAACCTGAGAGGCACGGGTTGCAGTGAGCCGAGATCATGCCACTGCACTCCAGCCTAGGGAATGGAGCGAGACTCCATCTCAAAAAAAAAAAAAAGTCTCAATAAATGTAAAAGGACTGAAGTAATACAAAGTGTATTCTCTGACCACAGTGGAATTACATTAGAAATCAATAACAGAAAGAGCTCTGGAAGATCTCCAAATATGGAAATAAAATAACATACTTCTAAAAACTCATGGGTCACAGAAGAAATCAAAATGGAAATTAGAAAACGTTTTGAACTCCATGAAAGTGAAAACAATATATAAAGAATTTAGGATGCCACTGAAGTAGTACTTAAGGAGAGTTTTATAACACAAAATATTATATTAGGAAAAAAATGGTCTCAAATCAATGATTTCAACTTCCACCTTAATAAACAAAGGAACAGATGAAAAACAAAATAAGCAGAAGAAAGGAAATACAATAATGTGCCACACTATGACATTTCAGCAAATAACAGACCATATGTACGACAATGGTCTCATAAGGCTGTAATGGAGTTGAAAGGTTCTATTGACCAGTGACGTTATAGCATCATGGCTCAAGGCATTACTCATGTTTGTGGTGATGCTGGTGTAAATAAACCTACTGCATGACTAATCATATAAAAATCTAAAAAGTCTACCATAGGCCAGGCATGTTGGCTCACACCTGTAATCCCAGCACTTTGGGAGGCCAAGGCAGGTGGATCATGAGGTTAAGAGATCAAGACTAGCCTGGCCAAGATGGTGAAACCCCATCTCTACTAAAAATACAAAAATTAGCCAGGCCTGGTGGCGCACGCCTGGTGGCGCACGCCTGTAATCCCAGCTACTCGGGAGGCTGAGGCAGGGAATTGCTTGAACCTGGGAGGTGGAGGTTGCAGTGAGCCAAGATCGAGCCACTGCACTCCAGCTTGGGTGACAGAGCGAGACTCTGTCTTAATCAATCAATCAATAAGTCTAGCATATACAATTATATACAGTACATAATACTTGATAATGGTAATAAATGACTAAGTTACCGATTTATGTATTTACTATATGTTTATCCTTATTTTAGAGTCTATT